ATCTACCTACTCTAGGACTTCTGTGAGGATCAAATGAGATGAGGAATGGGAAAATGCTTCACAGACATTTGGTTAAAGTGTAAATATTTCCACCTGGCTATAAAGCAAGTCATGTTCCTAGGCTGAAGAAACTCCAAGGAGGCTAGTCATCACTAGGGAGAGGAAGCCAGGTGTTGCTACGTGACGTCATTACCCAGCGTCCACAGCCACTGTTTCCAGGCTGTGCTTGGCTGTGGGCCACATTTTGCACCATGGGGTCTCGGCAGCGGCTGCGATTTGGTAGGCTGTGGCTCCAGGGTTGTGGCAGGGCCTGTGTCCCACTTGGAGAAAGCCGAGTGTTGCTTTGTGGGCACCAGGTCCACGGCACCATTTCTCTGTAAACAGCCAGTGCACGTCACAGCAGCTCCTGTGTTTTGAGTGTCTGCCCCCTGGTGGTCAGTGCATGTCATAGTGACGAGTCAGACAGTAGGACACTTAGCATATTAGCCTTTTATATACATACTAGAGGCCTGTTGCATGAAGAGATTCATGCAATAGGCCTTCCCTTCTCCTGGCTGCGGGCACCGGTTTTCCTCCAGCACGGGGAACCCAGGCCTTCGCTCTGGCTGGAGCCGCCTTCCGTCCTCCGTCTTCGTGGCCCCAGCCAGAGCCGCCTTCTGTCTTCCGTCTTTGCTGCTCCGGCTCGCCTTCAGTCTTCGCGCCACTTGGAGCCTACATATGCAAATTAACCGCCATCTTTGTTGGCAGTTAATTTGCATATCGCTCTAATTAGCCAATGGGAGGCATAGCGAAGGTACGGTCAATTACCGTTTGTCTCTATTATTAGATAGGATTATGTATAATAGGATATCGTAAAAATTAAGTTATAAAATTTTTAATAAAATGCTTTTTACATACCGTTATATTGGCTGGGCCACAAAAATATTTGTTGTGGGCCACATGTGGCCCGCGGGCCACGAGTTTGACATGCTTGGTCTACTCCATTCGAAGGGGTTTATTTGAGTACAAGTAATTTAGTCTAGGAAAACTCCAAGGTAACATTTCTGGTTAATCTCAAACCAGAGCCCCTTCTGTAGCCCAGCACAGAAC